TTGTTTGAATTTTCCATTTGGCAAGGTTCTTTGAAAACCGGTATATTTAGTCCGTGCGAAATGCAGCATCATTTATCTTCGTATCTATCCAATGGGTGCAGGTAATAGCAGTGGTCCCGTTGCCGATTATGGGTACGGCCCTACAAATGGTCCTCACACGTGGTGTTTGACTGCTAAACACGCTGCTGGAGGAAAACAATCTCCAGTGAACATTGTAACAGACAAATGTGAGGAAAAACTCGATTTTCCTGAACTTTTAATGAAACCTTTGGAATCCGGTCTGCAAGAAATCAAAAAGGGGAAGCACAATTTTAGTATCACGTTTCCGCAAGAAAAAAGTAAGTTGAGTTGGCTTGATAAATATCGTGGCTCAGTTTTCTTTTGACTCCCCTACTCTTTTTGTAATTAAAACGGACATATCGGCATTCCATGTATAAAGAACATATTCCTTACAATCTACAGCAAAATTAGCGTAATTCTACAAAACTTTGGCAAGCTCCCTCACAATTTCCGCATGCTATTCAAGAAAGATCCCGACAGATCCTGCGAAAATCTCAAAAACCAAACCATATTCATAACCAGTCCCCAGGAAGATATCATTTAATCCTTCCATTCATATGCGCAGATAAAACAATTATACTTTTTGCATTCACCTATGCGCGAACGCCATCCGATAAGATTTTTTGATAGATCAAACTCCAAGAAAATTGAAGAAAATACTTTCGCCGAAGTCCTAAACTTAGTTCTTTTCACTTTACACTATTTGAAATTAGGAACAAAAAGCTTAGTTTTCTTGATCAGGATGCAATTTTTATCAGAGTTTCATTGCTTGGTTCTAGGAGATGGAAGTTGTTGCTGTTATGTCTCACCGATAGGCAAGCTCGTTATATAACGCGTTTTGGTATTCTCGCAGCCGTTTTATAGATTAAACTATAATTTTCGTTTTTGTACGCTTTACTATATTTCACTTAGAACATTGTATATTTTCCCGTGCATTAGGTGCGTGTGTAGAAGGCGGACCTTTACGAGAACGGTATATTCTGCAACAATTTCATTTTCACTGGGGACATGAAAGCAAATGGGGTTCGGAGCATCATATAGACGGCTTCAGCCATTCCGCTGAAATGCATTTAGTATTTCTTGCCGAACGTTACTCTGACCAGAAGGAAGCACTCGAGGACCCTGAGGGGCTTTGCGTAGTTGGAGTCTTCCTTCGTGTGAGTTAGTTGAATTCTTTTCCGTTTGTATACGTCGAATTCAATTAATCAACGTACCAACTGAACACCTCTATGATTTTATATGATATGCAGAAAGAAAAATAAGACGTGTTTGTACTTTACAACTTGATTTTTGTGCAAGATAAAGATGTCAGCATTGTACTTTGTCTAGGCCGGAGCCAAAGAAAACGTTGGTTTCCAACCCCTGGTGACAGCTGTAGAAAAAGCGAAAACTGACAGCGAATGTGTCCTGGACACGCCAATTGATATCTTTGCAATCTTACCAAGTGAGTTCTGTAACTGAATTTCATCAGTTTTTTAAATTGGCCGGGCAACAAGTAACAGCTTTAGCTTCCCTAACTAAAATGTCTTTGCAGTACATTTATATTATTCCGTAGAAACTAGCAGAACTAGTATGGGAACCATTGCTTGATGCCAGAAGTTTTTAAAGACATTCGTGGTTCAGAACGTTTCGTACCCATAAAAACGTGATAAATTTTAACGATTTCCAACCCCTCTAACGTTAAACAGTTAGAAAATATAAATCAAAACGATTTGACTGACGTGCAAGATGCAATCTGTTATCTTCGTTCTTTATTCAGTTAAACCTAAGTCATTTAATCAGACTCTTAAATGGATGTTTATTGACTGCTGTTTTAATACTTACTTGAGGACGATTTAGCAGTATGCATCCACACAGTAATGCTCTCCAAATACCGGAGCAAACATTGATACACCAACTGAATAGGGTCATTTTTTTCATTTTTAAGATTTGTCTCGGTACTACACCTACGAAGGATCACTGACAACACCACCGTGTTCCGAATGCGTCCGCTGGATTATTTGTGCCGATCCTGTAGAAATTTCGGACACACAGGTAACTCTATATTTTAATCGATTTTTCTCAGTTGTGTATTGCACGTTTAATACGTACTTGCATACTTTGAGTGCTTTACACCCGCACATTTCCTATTTCAAATGCTCCAAATTTTTATTCAAAGGCCATAGAACGAGAGAGTTGCAAATGAATAGATAAGAACCAAAACGCATTTATTTGAATGCGCAAAATCTTGATAGGTTTCTTTTTCAGTTACTGATAAAAATGTGACGCTTAAATATTTAGGCGATTCGTCCGCTTTCACTTTAGTATCAACGGAGATTTATAAAATCTTGCTGGCTGTTTAATAGGATTAAAAAGTATAAACAAATAAAACTATTTGCGAATACGCATTTATTAGCGTCCCGACTATCTAGAAGACGGCAAAAGTTGGCGTTAGAATTGCTCTTTCTGGGGAAAATCGTAAAATTTAGACGAAACGTAAAGAAACAACAAGGTGTATTTGTTAAATATTAGTTTTAGAACCTTTTTATAGTGGTGGCCACTACATGCACAAAATGCTACTGGATAGTCACAATGAAATATTCTTTTTAGTGTCTAACCGTTTAATTTTATTGTTAGTAATAAAACGCAATTTAATCCTAGTAGTATAACCAGAAAAATGGAGCATCCAAAAAATAAATTGACGGCCATTCCTTTATTGACATTGAAATTTACCCACAGACAACATCGATGCTTAAAAGTTACAGCAACGTTACAGTTAGAGTAACCATATTAATTACGCAGGCAATGTCATAAACTAAAATACTGCATTCGTCAGGCAGTTATAAACTCATTAAGTGCGATCACATTCCGATAGCTAGGAATAGCAATACATGCGAGCTCTGAACTAATAATGGCCTAACTTGCAGTCTAATTTAACTGAAAAGCACCAGGTATTTGGAACTACATTCCATTGATGGGCACTCTTGGGTATATGCTCGGATTCCATATTGCACAATGGAACTACATACAAAGCTGTATCAAGGAGGGCTGTATTATCCGTCTCTACATGTCAATATTGTCAGATTGTTTTATATATTTCTTGAAACTCAACTGCCTTATAGCGGTTGAGTGCTCTAGGCCTCACCACTTAATAGTCAAAGCAAAGTGAACGATAAAGTATTTGCGTTCAGGGATTTTGAAAAAATAGCTTACAGTAGAATACTTGTTTCTGAAAGTCCAAATGATCATGCAAAGGTGTGAATTACGCTATTATTTTATTGGTCATATAACTATTTTCTGATATAAACCAGGTTGTTTGCAAAATATTTCCGGCGAAGAATAAGACCGGTAATACTGTCAGTAATTCAAACTTTGGTTCAATGACCCTTCGTTCTTGAATTTACTCCGCTGAAGTACGCCCACACCACCTTGAACGTCCGAACTAGACGAAGAACCGAGGCAGTAAAGAAATGGGGACTTGAAAAAGGTTGGAATATAACACACTTTTGAATGCTTTACTTTAAGTCTGTAGTTAAGACCAATACACTTTAAAGTAACCAGTCTTCTTGTTAGTCAATTAAGGTTCAGAAACGAGATTGAAGGGAAATTATTGCAATATGCTATCAAGCACATAAACGCCTTCAGGGCGTTACAAGTTTGCGTTGTTGTTTTTAAAACTAATGACAAATCCCTTTTATTTGAACAGCTGAGGGTGATGAGAACTATGCACAAATGCGAGACCTGCGAGACGTGTGAAAACTTTCGTCCACCTCTGCCACTCGGACATCGTACTCTCGTGCGCTCTTTTAAACGCTAATAAAGGTGGCAGCCAAACCAACATGCGGTACAATCTGCCAAGTACTCTACAGCA